TACATGTTAATTTTTTTAACAAATGTCTCATAGTTTAGACTATTTTTAGTGCATATTACCTTAGTTTGTTTCAGCTGCTGCATGAGCTCATCTCTTTCCTTCTCCAGATGAGCAATCTTCTCTTCATTCTCCTTCAGGTTATTGTGGCTATCTATAACATCTTTATTACTAGCTAGTATCGCCTGCACTACTGAAGCTTTGATAGCCATAGCTCGATTTAACTCTTGTAATTCTTGATTTAATGCAACCTACCAACAAAAATATTGTTATTTTTATAGTTCAGGATATTAGTAAGTTAAATATATTGATAAAATTATACATACCTGACCCATTGCTCGTTTCTCCTCCTCCATGACAGCTTGATCTTCATTAAGAGGAATTCCATCATCAACTTTTTCACTTTCATTTTCTTCTTTAACATACGATAGTTTTATCTCATGATCAATTAATTCTTCATTTGTCTTCATGTTAACAAATTGCAGATCTTCTAACCGTCCTTTTATTTCTTTAAGATAATCAACTACACTGTTCTTTTGTTCCTCATCAGTAACTTTGTCAGTTGTATTCAAATTATCTATAGTTTGATTACATTGTTCTGTCAGTTCATTCAGTTTTCTTTCTATCTTATCCTTGGCCGCCTCCGCTAGTAATGCTTTTTCACATAAATTAGTATTCTCTATCAAAACATTACTAAGATGTTCTGTCATTTGCTTGTGTTTTTTCATGAGATCCGCATATTTTGCCTTTTCCAATTCTAATTCTTCCCTTAAATGCTCATCACCATGTTCACTAATTGTTGGGAGTTTTCCTACTAATTGAAGTCTCAGTTCATTCACCAAGTTGTTTAACCTGTAATTAAAATGAGTTGTAACACACAAAAAGGACTAGGACAAGATGAGTATGAGTGTATGTATGTATGCATGACCTGATGATCTCAGCAGCCTTGGCGTCCTGGTTGATGACTGGCTTGTTGCGGATGCGACGTGCGCGGTCTGCGTAGCGCAGCGTCGACACAGTCTCGTCCAGGTTGTAGTCTGCGGGGCTCACGCACGCCACCATCATCGTCAGCGAGTTGCCGCCCAGGCTGTCTGCACAATGTTCACACAACATCATACACTAGCAAACAGCCATTATACAATATCACACTGACACACACTGCACATACCTTGCAGCAACCTCGTCAGCTTGCTGTCTCTGTAGCTGATGAAGCTTCTGTTTGTGCCGTCACCCAGTGCAGATATCACATTCCCTAATGCTAAGAGACCTTGATTTATTTTCACACCTTCTTTAAGTCTTTCACCACTTGCTTTTGTCTTTTTAACTCTCTCCGACCCAGCTAAATCCACAAAGTGAAATTTTGAGGTAGTTGCAAGGTTTCTGGAACCAAATTATTTAATTACTTTATGATGATATAAAGAAAAAAAGTAATTTAAATTATTTAATTTTTATTGCACTCACTTGTCAGTTTTACTTTCTTTAGCAACCACTATGGTAAATACAGCATGACTTCTGCTGGATGCTTGGTTCATAGCAGTGGATCCTGTCACTCTGCCAATGGAACCTTTCTCCAGCACCAACATTGTCTCCGCAGTGGATGTTACTGGTAACTCTGTGATGCCTAAGGAATAATTTGAAATTTTATTAAACTTACCTTGCAATACCTATGGCCTAACTTTTTCATTAACCAGTATTTAGTAACTAATTTATGATGGAGAGCTGACCTTAGGAAGAACAAATTTACCTGGCAAGTGTACACCTTTATTGATATCCTCTCTAATATCTATGACACTGTGTCCTCGCTCCTTGCCGGAGAGTAGGTCGTAGCACTGCTCCTGATATAGCTCCATGAATGAAACTGTCACTTTGAAAGTAAACTTGTTCTCATTCACATCTATGAAGTCAAATATATCAGCAACTGCCAGTGGTATTATACCTAAAAATACAAAAAATTTGATAAACATCTATATAACTTTTTTTTATCATACAACAATCTTTAAAACTTTGCATCTTACCTAATTTTGTTGTATCTCCTTCACCTGAATAATTAGTGCCCATTGTGTATGTTTTCCCTGAGCCAGTTTGTCCATAAGCAAGTATTGTAACATTGTATCCTAAAAAACATATTGAATAAATTTAAAAAGTTTAATAAGGCAATTGCAAGTTTAGAGAATAACTCAAAATTTCAAAGTTTCTTCATCTGGCACAAGAAAAAGCCCGTGACTTTATACTTGTGAAATTAAAAAAATTACTTTGTATAAAGTATGTCTGTTCTTCCAGACTATGTTCTATATCTATGCCAAATTTCATCAAGACATGTTAAGTCTATCTGCCGATTCTACCTCGATATTCTATACCGATAAACCTCCATCAATATATTCTTATTTATAATATTAGTAAGTTTAAATACATACCTTGAAACAATTTTTCTATAAGGCCTTTGACTGCAGTATCATAAAACTCTTGTTGTGTAATATGTTGTGGAAATACATAATTGTATGTGAATGCAAGGTCTTTTATTTGAACTTGAGGCTCCCCAGGGACTACTGATATGCATTCATCACAGCCGCGTTTTAATTCTTCGGGCATTAGCGGCCTAATTCGTAAAGCCACTTGCACCGTATCAACGGTTCCTTTATTATTCTCACAGTCCATCTTTGTGAGTTGAAATCACTTTCTTGATATGATTTTCTTAATTTTCAGAATCTATATACAATTTTCGTAATTTTCCTTTTGCTACCAAATAGCTCCATTAGGCTGGATTTTAAGGATATTGGTTCAGTATCATGTACTATTCGGACATACGTGCTAGTACAATTAATTTCATCACATTTCGTAAATTGTATGCAATCACGTTATTTTATAGACATTTCTGTAAAGGTGCAATATTCACCTATGATTTTAGCACAATGGTTCGTAATTGAAGCACATTACAACTTAACAATTACAGGAAACAACATTCGTAAAACTAAATCCAAACTTTTAAAATCTTAACGGATCGAGTAGTCGGAAATTGAACAATGTCAATCCTTTTTTTTAATTTTATGACCTGGTAACAAATGTCAAATCAAAATAATAAAGGCTAGGAGTGGGGTACTTGAAAAAAGTTTTTCTCAAAGATAAAATCAACTCCAACAAAAACATTTATTAATAATTGATCAAATACATTTAACTTCATGTAGGGCGATACACATAGTTTATTAAAAATATAAATAACTTTTACTCGATCTTGTTCTAATTGTTTGTACTAGGTTTACGTCATAATTTTGGTACGCGTTATTAATTTTGGTATACACTCTTTGCCCATAAAAAAAATTATGATAATGACAACATCATCCAGTTGTCAAGCAGCTTGTCAAATGCAAAAAACGAGCGAAAGTTTAGAAAACAAAGTTTAGATTAACTTCAGCTTGAAATAAAACTTTAATTTTGAGTTTACCTTTCACATTATCCAAGAATTTTAAGAAGTGTAGAGTAAAATCATGTAAGCCAAATTCGTTGCTGATTTACTTGTCTGCGTTTGTGAATTAGTGCTTGTGTCAACTGTTTGTTGTACATCATGCCGCCAAAATCTAAAAGAATCAAAAACATTACAACATCGAAAGAAAACACGTTCGTTGCAACTAAGGGAATTCCAAAAAGTGTTGTTAAAAATACTAAGGCCCCCAGAAAAGCTTTAGCTGATAAAACCAATTCGGCATCAGACGATAATGATCCCTTGACTTCTCCTAAAATGGGGATACAAACAAGAAAAATGAAATCAAAAAAAGTAAATACTGTTGATGTCAAAGAAACTGAAAAAGATCAGCCGAAGCGAAATCAAAAGGTGCCAGACATCTCAAGTGACAATCAAGTTTTAAACTTTAAAAGTAATAAACTACCAACCAAACCAGAAATTCAAACGATACTACAAAAGCAACCAGTAATTATTATTGAACCAATACAACAAGTATGTGAGGAAGTTGTTGAGAAACGTATTGCTGACAGTCGTCCTAAAAGGATATGTCGTCTTCCATCTAAATTTGAAAATCATTTTATAAGTCCAAGTAAATGTATTCCAGTTCAACCAATACAGGCAAGTACACCAATAGTGCAAAGCAAAGATAAAGAAGTATCTGCTAAAATTGATAATAAAATTATTAAAAGAGGTACTAATAAAAACCAGAGTATAACAACAGAAAGCTCAAAAGGTAGTAGTAGTATTGAAGATAGTAGCAGCAGTTATAATTCATCAATGGAAAAACCAAAAAGAAACATGAGATCCACAAAACGCAAACTAATTAAGCCTGTACAGGAAAAACAAAAAGCTGGCAAGAAAATCACTAATACAAAGAAAAAACAAGCTGATACCAATAATAACGCAAAAGATACGAACCCAAAACAAAGTTTATGCACTACATCACCTTGTAAAGATGTAAATATAATAACTAAGAATAGAATTATAAAGAAAGATTACTCCTTCAGACTATTTGATGAGAAAAAAGATGCCAAGAAAAGAAGTGCCAATAATCTTGATGTGTATGAATTCACTTACGATCCTGCCCAGGAGCCGCCACCACAAAAGAAAAAACGCAAAAGAATTATTAGGAACAAAGAAGATAAACCTAAACCTGGTTTTAAAAGCAACTACGATAAGAATGTTGCAAAATCATTAGCAGATTTAAAAAATAAACTATCTAAAAAAACTTATGCTAAACAGCAAATTGAAACACCACTACCATCTCAAAACAAACAAACACCTAATGTTGATAAAAAAATCGAAAATGTACCTCAAAGTACAAATAATGCAGTAACTGAAAATGTACTTCAAAATACAAATAATACTTTAACTAAAAATGTAACTCATACAGGAGAAAATGGGTTACAACCAAATTTCAACTCTTTCAACGTAGAAGACATAGTTCTAAATGATGTATCAGTTGCTAATGATTATAATGATTTAAATTATTCCCCCGTAAATACCCCTGACCATGCAAGACAAGCATCTCAACCTCGAGACATATGCACAACGGAAAGAGTTCCAAATAACGATCCTTTAAATATACAAGAGGATATAAGTTTCTTTGATGATATTCCAGTAGCCAGTAGTAGTATGAATGTGTCTACAAGAAACCCATCAGCCACTCCCTGGAGAGCAGAATATGAACAATTACCAATAAAATGGCAAGTAAATACGTATGTTAAACCAAATATGACACCAGCTTTTGAATGTTCATTTATAAATTTTAATGATAAGAAAAAACATGTCTATACAAATATGGTATCAGAAGATCCTGAACCATTACCAGAAATAATTGAAACGGAAACATCATCTAAGTTAAAACAAACAAGTATAATTTCATTCTTCAAAGAAGTTGTAGATAAACAAACAAGAAAGAAATTAAAAACGAAAACAACTCCAGTTAAAGATCCGGGAAATCATAATTTTGACACAGACACATTACCTATGGAAGAACCGATTTTGTCTAATTCTGTACAAAAAACACCACAGAAAAAGTCATCTAAAAAAAGTACTGATTTATCAGATAAAGAAAATTCAACAGAACTTATACAAAACTCACCAATGAAATCTCATACAAAAAAATCTCGTAAAAATGAATTGGACAAAGATGTAACATTCTTTGGATTTGATGAAAGTTTGGAACAAGAGAATGTTTCACCAGTCAAGAAAGATAAAGGTAGAATAAATGCATTAAGACCTAGATCCAGAGCAATATTACAAGAATTTAACGTACAAAAGGGCCCAATAAGAATGCCTTTGGGGGCAAGGAATAAAAAAGATAGAAATGCAATAAATAAAGTTTTTAATGAAGATATAGAACAGAATCTTTTCCAAGAAAAAGCTAAGGAAATTACAGAAGAAACAAATAATACAGTAGAACAAATTAATATAAGTCCAGAAGATTCCCAGTCTGTGCATTTATTTGAAGATCTTGAAGTTGTACATTCCAAGGTAAGGTTTTTTCCCCGATGTTATAAATTTCAAAGATCTATGAATTTAGAAAGTCAATCATCAGAACGCCAATAATAAAAAAACAAGGAATAATAAAAGTACATTTGTACCTGCTTTATGGTTAAGGAATTTTGTAAAATTTCTAACTGTGAATCATATAAGAAATCCTAAAGTAAGGAGAAATATTTTATGATAGAGTTTGACATTAAATGGGAATATTTATCTTATTTGTATGTCATTTTTAAGTTAATTTATAATTTCCTTATTATATTTTCCAGCCACCAAGAAAGAGTTATGGTAAAGCTAAGAAAGTTGCATTCCGACATCATTCTGAATCCAGTGACACACAGGAGGAGATCCAAGGTCGCCAAGGAGGGTCCAGCGGAGAGGAAGACAACCTAGATGATCTTACTTTTGAAATACCAACTGCACAAACTAAAAGATTGAAGAAAAAGAAAAAGACAGCCAAACAGCGTTCAAAGAAAGAGGTAACTTTATCTATTCTGTTTCAATCCAACTAAATTAAATATAGTTTGACCAGGAATATAAAAAAAAATATCACATTACAAAGTGATATGATCATCAGCTCACTATACATCACCATTGAGGGGCTCCGAGAATACCTTAAGTCAGTGTCTATGTCATACTCAACTACGCTGTCCAAGTGCATGTTAACTTCACAGATATCTTTGAAATTCTCTCACGATGTTTTCTTTCACCTAATGAATTAATCAAAGAAAATATTGGGCTATAAACGCAGGACCTGCAGTATAAGTCAAGTGCCTTATACCCTGAATTCCCCATGCTTTAAGTGATATAATGAAGATGACTAAAGTGTCCCGAACCAGGATTCTTATATTCTTGGTTAACCTATAAATAAGAATATCAAATTGTATTGATATTTTTATTTCAGGATAAAGAAGCAGAAGAATGGGCGGCTGGTTTCAATTCAATGTGCGAAGATATTGATCATTTTGATTTAATTGTGGAATAATTATAATGGACGCCATTTTCAAGGTAAAATTAAAGTTTAATCTGCGTTTCCATTGGCATAAAACATGTAAAAGGTTTTTCAAAGAGAACATTTTATGAAGAATTTCATACAGCGTTTGGAATGTTCTCGAAGGACAACTTGTAATTGTTAAATACATTTGATGTTAGTATAGGATATACATATTATTTTTATTTTAAGGCAATAATATTATTAAGTTTAATTAATTAAAATATAAGTTTTCAGTTAAAAATTTTAACTTGACCTTAATTGAAGAATCGTGAGTTGATATTTTGTTAGTATTAATTTTTATCTTCGAAGATTGGTTTGATAGATTGGCCATGATAGATTGGCCATGATAGATTGGCCATGATAGTTCTAAAACGAAAAATTACGATAAAAAAGGACATATCATATTTGATATGATCCTAATTTTCTGACGGATTATGAATTATAGACCGATGTTTATTTGACCATAAGTAAAAAATTATGACAGCACACTAGCGCCCCTCTGGCAATGTCGAAATTGTGTCACAATTTCCTAGCACTGTATAGACCGACAAGGATATCTGACCCGATGGCCATAAGTCGAACTAAATTATGACGGCACACTAGCGCCCCTCTGTCAAAGTCAAAAAAGTTACAAGTTTCTCCTTTTTATATCATTTCATGTCTATGTAGGCTTAACATATTGTCTGGTAGATTTAACGCGCCTCTCCTCGGGCCAAATAACTCTGCCGTACTTATAAAAGAACTTTAAACTCAAAAATGTTGCCATAGTATTTAAAATTCTCTTGAATTATTTGAAAGTAACCAATAAGTTTCAATACATTTTCTTTAGATTTAATATAAAAGAGATATTTATTTGAATTATAATTAAGTTAACAATAAGTAATAAGTTTCTTTAAAGGTTAAGTATTTCTCTGGGGCTTTCTGCATGGAATAAAAAATAAGATTTAACTTGAAAAGTTGTCATTTTAATGCTAACAAAAAATATATTATTATACATTTATATTTAATTCTATATAATTTATTTAATAAACAAGTAAATAAGTGCTGATACATTAAAATGTGTTGCCATAAGAAAAATTATGTTTTTGTCTATTTTTTTAGCTTTAAGATTTTAATTTTAAGGATTTCAAGCGGAATAAAATTTCTTTTTAGTATAAGTCCTAAAATTAGAAAATAGGTTGTACTTTGGACTTAAGCTATTTTATCTCTATATTTGATTTAAGATATTTTATTGACGAGATTGTAGTGTATATATAAACGTAGTGTTGTTTGTCTCGAGCGTACACGCCATAAGTACATGCCGGAGAGAGGGGACGTCGTTCGATGACCTTTGAGCCGGCAACAGGTGTCGGTACGTGAACGAGCCAAATATAGCACAACGAATGCTACAGAGATGAACAAGCTTTTATTATGTAAAATTTATATATAGGTTAAGTTCTAGCTAAAGCGAACATTTTTAATTTTTTTTCTATAATTTATGAGTTTTCTTATTATTCAACAAAATAGCTTTTAAATATCGCTGGACGAACTGATTTTTAATAATTTTATTAAAGCTTTTTATTTTTATTTTGACAGCCGATCTTTGGTACAATATCTCAACTCAGTTTTATCTGTGACGTCATAGATCTTAGCTTTAGTTATGGTGTTCTGATTGTCAGGTCTGATAATTAAGATTTAAACTGTATATATAAAATGTATGTTTAAATATTTGATTAATTTGAAATTAATATTTAGTTTTACGATTTATTTGATCATGACTTATGCCATAATTCTCATTTTATTGGTTTTTAATAAAAAAATTGTATGAAAATGCTGTTTTATTAACATCCTGTTTCCAAAATTAAGTCGTTGAAAGAATTAAAAAAATCTAAAATTGTTTAAACTTTTGTGAGGCATTGACCTCGAAGAAAACCTAAAACCTTGCCCTAAAGAGTGTGAAACTATTCAGGGCTGTCACTTAAAAAAATTGATAAGTATATCAATTTTACATTTAGATTAATTAGTTTATAAGTAAAGTGCCATTATATAGTTATTTCAGAATTTAGTTTCTACCTCCCAAAAAGAGTCAAGACGACCTTAAATTACTAACCTTGAAGTGACAATCTATAATTACGATGGAGAAAAAATAAAGAAAATTTTAAATTTATTGCAATTAAATTTATTAAAAGATTATATTATTAAAAGATTATATTATTAAATGATTATATTTGCATTTTACAATAAATTAAATAAGAGGTCAAAAACAATATGAAAAGCATTTAACACATTCAATGCTGTCGAATCACGTAGTAAACTCGCAAGGCCAGTCAAAAGCAGTGAACGTATTACTATGGATTTCGAATACTGACAATTGTTACATATATCGTTGTCTCTGTTCTTTCAAAGAAAATGTAAGGGATGAGAATATGTGTCAAAAGTATAATTGAATTCGAAATTTACAATTAACATGCGTAAACATTATAATGGTTAATAGATATATCCGGTTTTTTAAATAATTATTTAACAATAAGACATAAGTTCATCGATACTGCACGCTTTGAAGCAACATTCGTCGACTACGTAACGTTTCCCGCGCGATGGCACTCCCATACTTCGCGCCTTTTCAACTGACAGCCAGGGCCAGGAGGGTACGTCTTCTTTGTAAAGTGGAGGCAAAATTGCATCTGGAAAATTAAAAAGATAAAGTTATTGATTTTGACAATAAAAAGATATATAAATTAAACTCAAGTTTTAAAAGTAATTGGATTTAATCCAATGAATATAAAATCTAAAAAAAACTTTTAATTGCTTCAAAATGGTTGAATTATCACCCTTTGCTTAGGGTAGATTTACCTTATTAAATCTGCACTAAGGGACTGTATTTGAACTGTGTTAACTATTAAAAAAGACATAATGTGGGGGTAATATTCTTTAACACGTTCCATTCCACGGTTTTTTTTCTTTTGAAAGATATCTCAGATTTTTTTTTTGGGCGGCGCTATGCCGCCCTCTCGTTCCCCTAACATGGTGGTCAGGGACCTTAGATGCGACAACAATCTTTATTTCTTTATTAAATTAAAAATCAATAAAACTTTACAAATTTCTTAAGACTATTTACAATTTCAATTTAAATACGAGATATCTCAGATTAGAATGGATTGCTGATTTAATTTGATATAATATTTTGCCTTTTAACACATTCAATGTTAGCGATTCGCTTGGACAGTTTATGTTCAATCGAAGCGTAGTGGCATGGAATGTGTTAAGTAAGCTTTTATAAACAGTTCAATACTTACTGTAAATAGAATTATGATTTGCACGTTTACCAACTTTTTCATTGTCGAGGTAACACAATAGCGCCAAAGCTTTCGACAAAACTGGTCCGCAGTATTTCTGAGGTTTTATATCTCTTATATCCTGCATAGACATCTGACCTCCAATATGTCCCCATGATGAAGAAATCATGAATGTAGCGATTACGGCGATTATTATTCTAAGCATCTGTTAAATTAAAGAAAATCTAATAAGTATTTTTACCAAGCGAAAAAGCTATACCATAAACAAACTTAAGCGGAAACGTTAGTTTAATGAAAAACTCTTAGGACAATTATACATAGACTTCAAGCAGTCGATACCTGGCTAGCTATAGATCATATTAGCCGATCTAATGTTCGCCATACAAGGACCGATTTTTCAGTCACAGAAAGAAAAGCTGAAAGCACTACTAAAAGGAGTAGTCCGTGTATGGTCAATAAAATACAAAATAAAGTACACTAACAAAAATAAAGAACAAATTAAAAAAATATATTGTAGTTTAAAAAAAATATAAAAAATAGATTATTAATAAAAATAATTAAACTTACCTTTGAGCTTTTCTCTGAGCTTAACCCTTATCGAATGTGGTTAGAGGTGTGAATCTAACTGAATTTATACTCCCTTGGGGATGTGCGAGGGTGCTGATAAATATTCAACAATGTTCTTAACGTATATTTGTATAATGCGACCTGATATGTGACCTTGATTCCAAAGATAATTCCAGGAAATAGATACGATAATAAATATCGTCATATAAGGTACGTTTTGCTATAGGATTTGTTATCGAAATTTTCATGTCAAGAATACGAGAATTTAAGCTAATTTTGAGAGATTTTTACTCTCATTAGTAGAGGGTAATTTAAGTAATGTTAAAATTGTACAACTATTATAATTATTTCACATTTTAACTCTACAGATATTAAAAATGTTTAGCTGACTTTGCGTTTTTGGAAAGAATTTTTTAACAATTTAAAAACTAAAGAATACCAAACATTATCAGTTAAATTGTCGGAAAGCGACACCATTGAATTAAGTAGTTTTTTCTTTTATTACTTAATATAAAAATTGTTCAGTTTTTCTATAATTATAATATAATTTAATTTACTCTCAGTGTATCTCCAGGCTAAAGCTCATTCAGTGTAAACAAGCTTTGAATAAGGTGAGCGCTTTCGTAAATAGGAAAATTAAAACATATTTCATACACGCGTGGTTTTATTTATTAGAATATTCTATCATTTTTGTACATTTATAAAATACTAATAAAAGTAATCTCTCGCTTAGAATACAGTTTTTAATTCTTTGTTCATGTTTGGTATCCGTCTTCAGCTGTATTCTGTTGCTTGGGATTTCATTGATTTTCTTTTGCGCCAGATTGCATCTATCCCTTTATGGATGGAGTTTCGTCCAGTTATTTCGTATCATTGCATTTTTTACGAGATTATTCTAAAACTATGTACTTTTCATAAATACAAACAACATGTAAAAGTGTCAAAAGCGCCATCTATGGATTAATGTTAATATTCCCAAATAGTTGTTTATGGCTTGGTCAGTCCTGACATCTAGTGATGAATTTTTGCATTAAATCACTACATTAATTCACGCTAACGAACAAGCAATACTGTAGATGGAGTTACTTGAAAGAAATCTGATGTTCAAATAAATTCCAGCTTGATACCTTCACGCGTTTTTGAGAGAAAGGGTCTCGACAGACAGGCGGACGGACAACAAAGTGATCCTATAAGGGTTCCGTTTTCTTCCTATGAGGTACGGAACCTTAAAAACAACATGCCCGTAACTGAAAGGGGGAGACAGAGACATTTACATGGATTATTATTAAAATATTGGTTCCTTTGAATTCCAGAAAAATTGTCTTTGATAAATCGGATGGAAC